TGGGAGAGACTAATGATCAAACTGTCTGACCCGGACCGAAAATAGAATGGTAAATTATCATGTAGAAGAATTTCGGATCGCCTCTTTTTGTAGATTAGTCACTCTTCAAAAATGGCCGCCGTAAATTTGATGAGCAGCCGTCAGGTCGTCTGAGCGTTTATATCGAGCGGGAAAATATAAGGAATAAGCATGTTCATGATAAAGACTTTTTTAAAATGGACGCCGCGAAGGATTTAACGAGCAGACGTCCAGATAAAATGTGGAATTTCTCCAAAAGAAAGAATGTCACATAGGCCTCGTATAGCTTTTTTCACTTGTTAAGTTTTTCTTCATCCGACACAGTTGGAATTTTGAAGATATATCGTTTGCTATATTTTTTTTATCAATATTATATATATTATGTTTAATTAATATGACTCAGGCATGTCCTGGAGAGAGCGAAGCTCGTACATTTTTGTTTCGATAGTATAGTATAATTTTTGAATCATATAACCCATTTTAATACATACAAAATGTACCTGTATTTTTTTATAGTATACTTGAATCTGTTGCTAGGAAAGATCATTCAATTTGAAAACAGGCATTACCTGAAACGAGCGAAGCGTCTAAATGCTGTTTTTTTCAATCCTATTTTCTAAATAATATTATTTAAATTTTAATCTATTTATTCGTTTTAAAGCCATAAATTAATTAATGTAAAATTAATAATAAGTAAAAAAAAACATTCGAATGAATTATGCAGTTCAAGAGGAAACACAAATGGTACTGTTGCATTTAATTGCCCCGCCTAAGGCCCAGTAGAGGGACTTCAATTTGGAGATGTATTGTTTATTAAATAAAACTGTTATTATCTGTCATTATAAAATTTAAGTATATTGGTGATTAAATTCCAATTTTATTTTCCGACATGATATACTTTGCCTGATCCCTCTTAATCGTGTAAAAAGAGAATCACAATAGCCCAAACATATCCGGATTTCCGTCTGGTTTGGTAGTTACTATATACTTCCGGTTTGGGTGGAGAGAAGAAAAGACTGAAAATTTGAATATCAATGTAACTGCATAAGATACATTAAGACCGTTCCAACTGTCATGTATGAAGAGGCTCATATTCGTCTAATAAATTTGATTAATTTCATCGGGAAGCTAACATAGGAGCAAACAGTCAGATAGGTATAGATGGCAGGCCTGATAATGCATAAGCGTGCGACGCCACAGCAGGCATGATAAACCTTGCATAAATCGTATCAGCTGTTACACCTTCCTTAATACAATGAACTAATATAGTGAACACTGTAAAATTCTGTAGTAATATAAAGACTTGTATCTGTACAAACCTATTAAAATGTTTTTTACTAATATATAGGCTCTTTAGAATACTCTAATTGTATATACCTTGTATACAATTTATACTAATGTATATGCCTTTTATAATATGGTCTTTATATACATACACGGACCGTGTATGAAAATATAGTTATATATGGGCCCTGAATGATACTGTTATCTGTAGAATATTTCTCTTTATAATACTATACTAATAAATATGGTCTCTATTATTCAATACTACTATATAGGCCCTTTATACTATTGTACTATTATATTGGACGTGTATAATGCTACTTTATTGCTACTATATTGGCTCTTTTTAATACAGTTTTATATGTTGATCCTTTATATAGTACATACTGTACTATTACATGCACTTTCAATAAACTATATACATGAACCGTATGTAATACTGAACCCAGAAATAGATCGTATACAATACTGTTCTAATATATATGACTCTTGCCTAACACTGTGATAATATATATGACTCTTGCCTAACACTGTGATAATATATATGACTCTTGCATAACACTGTGATAATATATATGACTGTTGCATAACACTGCGATAATATATATGACTGTTGCATAACACTGTGATAATATATATGACTGTTGCATAACACAATGATAATATATATGACTCTTGCCTAACACTGTGATAATATATATGACTCTTGCATAACACTGTGATAAAATATATGACTGTTGCATAACACTGCGATAATATAAATGACTGTTGCATAACACTGTGGTAATATATATGACTCTTGCATAACACTGTGATAATATATATGACTGTTGCATAAAACTGCGATAATATATATGACTGTTGCATAACACTGTGATAATATATATGACTCTTGCATAAAACTGTGATAATATATATGACTGTTGCATAACACAATGATAATATATATGACTATTGCCTAACACTGTGATAATATATATGACTCTTGCCTAACCCTGTGATAATATATATGACTCTTGCCTAACACTGTGATAATATATATACCCTCAATAATGCTGTACTAATAGGTAGACCCTATATAACACGGTACCAATATGTGTACTAACTGTTGTTCCCTGATGTAGCTTCTTTTGTCAAGATCGTCTTATACATATATATAAAATTTACATAGATCGACAACCACAATTGCGTTTACATGTATACGGTAATTAATTCAACTGATTTAAATATGTAAAGACTGTCTCAGTTTTGATTGACTCGGAATATCCAGAGCTTTATGAGATTAACTTAGATGAGTGAATAAAATCAAAGACATGATGTTATGAATTAGTTCATTATTTATAGTATTACATAAATAGATTGCGCTGACTATGTACCTGTTATCGAATTTACACTCCCATCTTCAATCTATGGAACGCAAGTAAGGATGAACTGGGATGGGTTCGTTATCTTTTAGCATATATGATATTAGCTTAAATACTTATTTCGTGACAAACATGTTTAAGCTTAATGAAACGTTTCTACAGATAATAATAGTTGCAATGTTTGGGTTTTTTTAATGACACATATTGAGTCAACAAAAAACAATTCCCATATTTGAACACATGGAAAGGTAAATTCGACCAGACATTGACTAGAGAGTCACTATTTTACGTTTAAAAAACATAAAACGTAATATTGAAACAACATGTACATGCCCAGTCAAACAAAATTTAATATAACGTCTAGCCTAACATATGAAAAAAGAGAAAATAATCACACGATTGTCCTATCCTCTAAAGTTCTGATAATAACAGTTCCTTTGAAATCATAAAAGCCTGGCACACATAAGTCCAGTTGCAATTTTACACTTTCTATTTATGTACGTTAATAAAATTATAATTTATAGCAGCATTTACAATGTGTTCCATTTTTCTCTTGAACAATAAGCTAAATAATATTTAGAAAAATAAAAATATTTACTTTGTGTCTGTTTTATTGTTTATACGGGCTCAGTGATAGGTCTTTTTGTATATTTATACAGGTTATTATTTTGTTTTTATTCTTCTTTTCATTTCCTCTCGTCGTCTTTAGTTCCTAAATGCTGTATGACCTGTGAGTCCCTGTTAAAAAGTTCGTATTTAAAATCGTCATATGTTGGACATGTATTTAATAAACCGTGTTCATTCTCCATTGCTCCTATATATATATATATGTCGCTTAATGTACATAATTTCCTTAACAGGTAAAGTTGGTCAGAGGTATCGACTTATCCGGATTGACAGAGGTAAGGTAACCTCCGCTCCGAAACGATGAAAGAACATATGGTTCCATTTCCGGACAAGTTATATTCGTAGATAATTAAGTATGTGATGACATACCATCGATGATTTAACTATATTATTTATATCAAAACGCAATCACTTTCTCCTTCTAGTAGACCATTTTACTTAGTAAAATATCTTATCTGATACCCTACTACCTATCCTTTCTTTTGTCCTCTCTCCCTCAAGTGGAGATATATAGAGGATGATCTCCACTCAATTAACTTCAATAAGTGTTTGTATTGACCTAGATACCTAATGATATTCAGCTGATGGGCAAGAATGGCAAGTTTGTTTAAGTGTTTTTTTTCTGTAAAAACAATTCATGTATTACCTTACGTATATTTTATTGATCAATCAATGGTTATTTGTGATTAAAAAATTCCTGAGCTATCAACTACATTCCATTCACTCAAAGTATATAAAACGTTGTACAACAGGCGTGAGACCCCAAACATTGCGCCCCCTGATAATACGTCAAGCGTGCGACAGCACAGCCGGAGTGATTAATCCTATAACACGAAGTCACTGTAAACCTTCCCTACATATGTATCATATATATTCCCTGTATCAAACTACGATAAAACTACTAATGTAAGGCCCCTGCATAATACTGTACTAAAATAAAGACTTTGTTTAATACTCTACTAAATGATCATCCGTATAAAATATTTCTGTATAGTACTGTAATAATATATTAACTGTCTATAATACTGTAATAATTCAAGGTCCCTGTATAGTACTGTCCTAAAATAAAGACCTTGCATAATGCACTCCTAATATATTATCCGTATAACAAATTACAGTATAGTGCTGTAATAATATATTGGTCCCTGTATAATACTGTACTAAAATAAAGACATTGTATAACACTCTACTTATATATCACCCGTATAAAATATTCCTGTATAGTACTGTAATAATATATTGACTCTATATAATACTTTACTAATTTAAAGGTTCCTGCATAATACTGTACTAAAATGAAAACCTTTTATAATACTCTACTTATATATCATCCTTATAAAATATTGCCTCTATATACTACTCTACTAATTGAACGACCCTGCATAATACTGTACTAAATAAACACCTTTTTGTAATTATGTACTAATGCATAGCCCCATATTATACCGCATTAATATATTAAATTTCTGTAATACAATCATAATATAAAGATTTACATTCTATACATAAGTAGCACATGTGTCATTACTGACAAATTCACTGAACGTGGCATCTAATTATCAAGGGACATCTACATATCTTTTACATATTTTACGTTAAACGGAGAGAGCATTAACAAGCATTAAATATTTACGATTTCAGTATCAGTAAGAAATTTCAGTTTGTTTTCATACATAGTCTTGCATGTAGACAGTTGTTTGTACTTACTTAAAGCCTTGTAGTCGATATCGCAAACTGGCAGGTTAGTATCGTTACCTTCCTGATTAGCTCTGGACGGTGTGTAATTCCTCTGTACACCTGTGTCTTTGTCATTAAGGATGAAGTGAGAAACATTCTTAGAAATCGTGTAACTCCTTTCATGTTCATGACTATAATATAATCCTTTCATGACCAGAATAACTCCAAATGTCATTGCAATTAGTCCTGCACCTCGAAATATTGCAGTTATCTTTAACACATGGCTGAACCTCGCCATATCTACCACTTACGATCACACCATTGTGTTGTCACGTCGCTAGCTCTACTATAACTGACTGTGTTGCCGTCGTACACCTCACTATCACCTATATACATTGTACATCACCATGACAAAGGTGGCCACAATCGTCATACCTTAGTAGCTAGGTGAGTTATACATATAACAAAGAAGAACGGACTTTTATGATTAATTTCCAATGAGCAATATCATTCATGTGAATTTTAAGGACAATAATTTTAGTATTTTTATCAGAAATAAAAGACATGATCAACAAAACCCTAATGACGACACGTGTCAACACAGGTTTAGATATCATACGAACTTTTGTATTTAGCTTCCAGTTGCGAGATATTTGCTAAGTACCTCCTTGTGTGATTTTCATGATACAGTACAGTTATTTCCATATTTGACTAATGGAATTTGTAGCTTTGATTTTAAACTTAAAACATTCACATAAATATTTGACTTATATTTTTGTATATACCCATGTGGATTCGTGCTAATTTCTAAAATGACTAATGCTTGAATATTTACTGAAAACTTACTGTGCCTTGAATGCTAAATATTTTTGTAAAACATTGGGAGACGGATTTCGGATGGTGTCAGATGACGTGCTTACACCAACCTCTTTAAGCGAGGACTTCAAGCCTCGTTGCTTGCCTACGGGCCATTGGAAGTCCGTATCGCAACGGGTACCCACACACAGTCTGACTTCTGCTTTCCCACTTTTTAACTTGTGTTAAATAATCCAATTTTCCTTTTATAGTTAAAATATGAGGAAGCAGGAAGCAGGAAGCAGTACACCCATACACATCGTCCAGGCCTACATCTAAACAAAAAGGTTTTTACATAGCTGCATGGCTTGTGATTATTTAATTTAAAGTGATTAGGGAACATATAGGAATGTTTAGGAAGCCATCATATGAAGACTAGAAACACATATTTTCAAAAGTTAAACAGCACGTATTTTTTTTAACAAACTCGTTTGACAACACCGTCATAATACCTTACCAGACCATCCTTTTAAATGTAATGTCAATCTCGGGATTGTTTATGAACCTGAACAAAGTTAGGCCTATGTTAGAGAATGTTTTTGAAAATCGAACCATACGAAAGAATGCATTGCGACAATCTGATATAAGGTATAACAGTTAACCTATATTTATCCTCATGAGGTCATTGTGAGCTTCAATGTACTTCTCAAAGTTTTACCAACAAAGTCCGTCATCCCAAACTTTGGTAATTGGACTCAAATAGCGAAATAAATTAGTTTTATTATAAAAAAAATGATGATATTCTCGTGTTGACTATCGGTTGTATACTTACTACGTACATGTCTGAGTCGTTTTGTATAGGGGTTGTCAAATGTGTCCCAGACCGTTGCTCATTATAAGTGTATCTACATTCCGATGACGTCTCCCTGTTGACGACGTGCGAGGCTTATCTTCACCGACTGACGTTTCGGATTATTTTGTATTTTCTACGCCTGTGCTCATTTACAATGTTGAATTTAATGCGATAATGTAGATACTAAAACTAACGTAAATGCATTTTTTAAATAAACGTTTGCAAAAAGGCGAATTTGTCACAAAACGTCAATACTCACATTCGTTCATCAACAATCACGGCTGCGATCGGTTGTCATGGTTACAATGGTAACATCGAAGACGGTACATTTATATATTACCATTTATCACATACCTGTTGAATCTTGTTATAGTAATACAAGCAATTTTCAGACCATGAAATACAACGTTCTGTATTGTACATGTGCAATACGGAATGTTGTATTTACCTACTAGCCGGAACTACTTTTTATGGGAATCCCCTTCTTATGGCGAACTGAAAAGTTGCCGGTATTTGCAAAAAATATAAAAGTTTATAAAATCTTTGTATCGATTTCTACCAAATATGGAAGGTATGTGATAAAAGCAAGACCACACAATTGTGTTTTTCTAACGAATCAGAAAGCACTCATTTATTGCGCGGACGTATATGTTCACTCGTGCGCTCCGCGCACTCTTGCATATATATTCGTCCGCGCAATAAACTCTAGCTTTCTGATTCGTTAAAAAAACACAAGTGTGTGCTCTTGCATATATATTCAATACATAACGTCTGTCAAAACCTGCGTTTTCTTTTTACAACACTTGGCAACCCGAGTTGACATGGAAGAGTTCCAAATTTTTCAGTGTTGTATTAAAACCAATACCAAATTTCAGCCTGGTACGCTTATCAGGACTGGTAACAGACAGACGGATAAACAGACAGACATACTTTAGTTCCTACGAAAAAGAGATTTTACAGACAATCACTATCACAAAAAGTTCAGTTTACATTGTTAGTTAACATTTTGGCATCAGATTAACAAACATCGTCCATTTCAGCAAGCATTAGTTTGATGTTCTGTCTCTGTTGACGATCAGGTTTCCCATTCTAAGTCTATACTCATCACCTCGGTACGATCCTCTGACAGGAAGTTGCACTGTTTAGTTGTATCTAGATTCAAGAATGCTACATACGTTTTCACTTCAACGGCATTCAAAACACCGTCCAACATTTTAATTCAAATTATTACAACAACAACAACTTATAATATATACACACAAATCAATTCTGTGATATCATTAAAAGAATTATCAATAAATGACAGCATTATCATAAAAGGATCCACACGATTATAGGAATATATAAAAGACAGCCGGCCTGACAAAATGAGTTCACATAACAATGTTCATTAGATCAATAGCGCACACACGTAGATAATATCCATGGATATGAAATGAAAATAAAATAAAATCGCGATTGTCATATTTGTACACACATATAATTATCAAAGTTCGTCATCATGGAATTGTGGTTTCCGGGTCCTCACCCTTCGTAGGAAACCACCTCCGACACGCGCGCATAGTTCTCGAATATCTTTAACACAGTTCTTACAACATAATCTCCTATGAAAATTAGCCTGTCTTTCTATGCGGAAATTGGGTTCCAGAATCTCTTCCTTAAGTTGAAGTCCACTCCCGATGGCTGTATCTTAATGTTCCTCGTTCTGCTGCTAATAGGAAGGTCAGTCTCGGATCCTTAACCGTTGGCTGTAGACCATCCCCAGTATTTCTCTGCCATTGTGCCTTTGTATAAACACAACACAATGCTCATCATAACACATATCATTTGTTACAAGCCTGGTTGTTTTTATGACAACAACACAGAGTTTATAAACCTCCTGATCACCTGTGGAAAGTGGATTCCGGAATCTCATCCTTAAAGTGAATTCCACTCCCGGGAAATCTATAAAATGTTTTCTATTTAAGTGCAAGCGTAATGTTCATAATTACGACCCTGTTTCTCACTCCCATTAGTAATTATGAGAGTTCCCCAGAGTGTTGTTGGCGTGGTTGTTTGAATGGGGGGCCTCCGGTACACATGGGTATATCTTGAGGACGGCATCCTTTTGACATCCTCCAGTTACCATCGGTGCTGTCGGTGTGAGCTGTCATCATCGACTCCTCCCTTTCCAGTCAGCGGCACCATTTCGAAGTGTGGTTCGGTGATTGGCTTACCTGACCTTTTTCGCTCGCTCATGACTAGTCGATCCTTACATACCCTTCCCAACCCACATCTCCTGTAAAGGTTCATAGTCAGTATACCAGTCCCTTATCCTACTAATCCCAAGCCTATCATACCCCGTAAAGGAAAACTAGTATCATCGGCTACAGCCCGGAGAGTTTGTAATTCGTTAATCAGTTGAGCCATTGGAATTTGTTTGATTGCTTTAAGTTCGACATGCGTGAAATTTGGTAAGGCGTCATGAAACGGCTCCCATAGGCTTATCTTAGACACAATAGTTATCATAAGTAGATTCTCCCAATCCCCCATAGCCCTGAATGCACTTTCTGTTTCATAGAAAGTTAAGAAACTAAGCCTGTCATTAGTTGCCGAACAAGTTGGACCCAATTTCATAATCCCAATGGGAGGTTGTATGGTTTGAGTGGATACTTGTCTATCAGCTATTTGACAAACCACGGAAAACCGTGCTGGTTTATCAGTAGTCACGACCCACATTCCTTGGTCGATATATTGTGCGGAAGGTACTGAAGCAAAATGCTCTACAATGGCGGGCCAGAATTTTAAAATCCTCTTGTCATCTTTATTTATGAATGCAATTATACACATGGTGCTAAGATGAGTGGGGTGGACTGGATTGCGCATCTGACAAAAATCAACATGTCGTTTGGAACACTGACTCACTTCATCGTTTTCGAGTAAATCATATTTCGTTTTTTCAACATTCAACGCAACAGCTTCGGCCTCTAGTTGGTATTTCGCGGACATAGTACTCGTAGGTGAATCAACTTTGGGAGTCATTTTTTATCGGTAGTGGTAAGTTAATAGCTTTGATAATTTCAAATTTCCCATTAATATCTAAAAGGCGGTTGGACGTTATGATCATGATCTTATCATCTTCCATTATAGTGCTACATGTCAGAAATTTATTATATTTCCATAATTTTGTCGTAGGGTCATGTGGTAGTTTAAGCGTTAGTGGCAATTTGTTGTCTAATCCGACCAATAATTTTAATAATAAAAGTTGTTTGGTGAAATAACGCTAGGTGACAGATGTCCTAGTGCAAGCTTGTCTAACTGAGTGCGCATTTCTTCTGTGTAAAACGTTGCGGTTTGTTGCCTATAACGTATTTCTTCTGTGTAAAACGTTGCGGTTTGTAGCCTATAACGTATTTCTTCCACAATCATATCAGGTTGAATGAAGCTATGCATACATTCCTCTAACCTCCCCACTCTACGATTCAACCCACTGGAAACATTCAATAATCGCCCATCTAGTTGTGCAAAACTCTCGATAACAGTATTGGTGCCACGCCTGTTTTCCTCTACCCGTGTACGCGTTATGTTTTGAATTGTTAGACTTTCCTTAAGGACATGAGTTATCCTCCGTTGGTTGGATGATAACGACCCTATCTGACACTGTTCCGAACGGAAAGCTCAAAGCCTTACCTACTATAGGTAGTATAAAACGTTTTGTTTTAGAGTGTAATTTCCTGTA